ATCAGCCAGCAGGCATATATGTTTCTTGGGTCTGAGGATGAGCTGGAGTAAGCCAGTTCATAGCACCGATTGCCAAAAGTGAGAATCAAGATGGATGCAGGACAGCTGGATTGTATTACAATAGCAGCCAGTTCACATTAAGGCTACGACTGGGGGCTGGCTGGGCTGGGCTAGGTGGCAGCACCTGTTAGAATGAGTTAGAACTGGGAGCAGGCCGGTCTGAGCTAGGCTACATCACCAACTGGCCAATATCAAGGTGAGGCCAGAAAGACTGGGCCGCAGTACCTACCATCACAAATTAGACCACCAGGAAGTGGGGACATACCTCTCCATGGTAAATAGGAGAGCTGGGATTTGGGGCAGACCAGTCTGGGCAGAGTTAAAACACCTGCTGGCCTGCATGTGAGCTGGGTTAGGGAGAGAGCAGGCTGGCCTCAGTGACCATATCTGCTGGTGTGTGCGTGAGTCAGAGTAAGTGAAAACTGGTCAGGCTTTGACAAAGCTTAACTTCCAAGTGCTGGGACTGGGTGCAAATCCTTGTCAGGCTACACCACAGTACCAGTTGGAAAGTGCAAGAACCAGGACTGGGAATGGGCCTGACAGATTTTGAGCAGCCCTCTGATATGCTGAGTTCCCAATATTGAGCATTTGAATCAGGCCTGAGGGTGGGCCTGGCTGGACAGGAAGTAATACCAGCCAGCGTAAGTATCACCTGAAGAGTGGGGTCATTGAACTGAGATAATCTGCAACACCCAAGGACCAAGTGGGATGTGTGACCAACTAGACTAGTTGCTACATGACTGGCATGTACATGAACCAAGACTGATGGTTTGGGGGGGTTGCTCTGACTAGGCTGTAGTTCCCACTGGTATGTTTGAGGATCAAGTGTTGGAAGGGTTGGCCTGGGCCACAACATTCATTGGATTTCATGAGAGATGGGACTGAAAGCAGAAATGACTGGGTAGCTGCAATCATCTGTGTATAGGCTGATGTGGTTGATGGACTGAGCTAGCTCCTGCACTGGCTTGCATGCCACGGAGTCAGGCTTGAGGTCACTTCTGACGAAGTCTCTTTGGGAAGCATTCCCATTCAACTATACTGTTGATCTTAAAACTCCAACCATGGGGAAAATCAGGAACTGTGGTTTGACCATGGAGAGCATATGTGAGAACTGGGCTTCCTTGGGTGCTGAAGCCTGTGCAGTGGACAGCATGACAAGACACAAATGGGGGTCATGACAGATCATTAAAGCCTGTAGAGAACATTTAATACTATGGATGGCAGAACAAATTGGACAACTCTCCTGGCCAGACTTTGAGACACAAAGGTGAACTATGTCAGCCAATGGACCTTGGAAGGATTTTCTTAACATAGCAATAATAAAATCAACAGCATCCCAGAACTGTTGCAAGGTACTTAAGGAGTACCCTTAGAACATGCTCCACATGAGGGATCTTAGGATGGCATCAGGTGACTGTTCCCCATCCCTGAGCACTGATGGAGCTAGGCTGCTGGGAGCAGCCCTCCTCCCTTCTCTACCTTCCTCCAGATATAGAAAGAAAAAAGTTGGACACAGTTATCTCATTCACTTTCCCCATTCCTTAACCCTTCCTACCCTAATTAGTGGACACATGTACACCTATTTTTCAAAAGGAAGAAGCCAAGTGTGAAATATATTATGCTTCTGGACCTCAGAACTATTAATCAGGGTGTCATTGTAATTCATCCTACTGGGCAAATCCTTATACTATATTGAAATAAATATCCAAAGCCACTTCATAGACTATGGTATATGAGTCCTTAAGATGTGCTACCCATTATATCTAAAATTCCATTTTTCATTTGTCTTTGAATGAACTGGCTCTTTCTCAAATGTAATTCAATAAAATATATAAACAATCCTCCCCAAGTTTCAGAGATAATACTCATTTGTTTAGTAATGCTTTTGCAGAAGAATTCAGAGGCACTTCAGTAAAGAAAATAAATACTTCTTATAAAATGTAGATGATAGTCTCATTGTTAGCCCTTCCAATGAGGATTCAGTTAAAAATGCCATTCTGGTGTAAGGATTTTAACAAAATGATACAGTTTTATACAATAAATGCTCAGATTTCAAAACAAGAGGCAAATACTAAGGATGTATTTTGACCTGAGAAAAGTGTGATCTTTAACTCAAGACAAAGGAAGCCATATTATTTAGAGGACCCTCAGAGATAAAAAGCAGTGAATTATATTTCTGGGAAATGCAGGATTTTTAGAATTCAGATTCTAGGACTTGGGTTGATAAACAAACCTGTATATGATGCCTTAAAGTGTCCTGACAAGACCTGCTTTACTGACACAGGAGAGCAAAAGAAGTTTTCCCAAGAGTTAAAGAGCTATTAACAGAAGCTCCAACACGAAGAACTCCTGATCTGGAAAAAAAAAATTAACCCTGTAGTAGAGATGTAGGGAGTAGCTTTAGGAATACCACCTCAAATCTTAGGTTTGCTTCCATGATCAGTGGTTCCATCTCTTAAATAGCTAAAATCAGTGGTCGCAGGAAGACCTGCATGCTTAAGGGCTGTGACAACTATAGCACTCTGGGTTAAAGGAATCATCAAGATGACTTTAGGCCAGACACTTGAAGTTTGAACCTCACACCAGGAACAAGGAGTTTGAGAAATTAATTAAGGACATGGAGGTCTAACAGAAGGATGTCCCATAAGTATCAGGCACTTTTCTTAGGCTCTTTTCTTGGACTTACCTAGGGTAACTTTTAAAGTATGCCAATTCCTCCATCTGGCAATTCTATTGTAGCTAAAAGTACTGAAGAACTATACATCAGTGTGCAAATTCTAATCAGGTATATTCTGGTATATCTAATTTCTGAGATAAATTTCTAAAAAATTCAGGTGGCAATAGTTACATAAAAGGAATTAGAAATTGAAGATTTGCCACATGGATCCTACTCAGGTGAAAGATTATCAGGACTTGCCAATATCCTAACTCATGAAGCTGAACATGTTGTGTTAAGTAAATATACCTTGCAATAAGAAAAAGCCAACAATTTAATATCAATATGAATTCCTAGTATGCTTTTCTTTATGTTACATGAAAATGAAGCAATATGGAGAAAAACAGGTCTACTAATTGCAAAGAATTCTCCCATTAAATATAAAAAATAGGATACTATCCCTCATTGAGGCAATAATGCTGCCAGAGACTGCTACATTCCTTTTTGCAAAAATGTTTAACTTCTTAGCTAACAGAAGCACAACACAAAAAGCTTCTCTACTTGTAGGAGAAAAGGGTAGTTAGGTAATTCCCACTGCATGGAAACCTGGGCTGATGCTATAAAAGCACCTCCACCAGATTCAAAGTCAGTGCTATGGGGCACCAAAAAGATATTCTGCAGTAGGAACTTTACGGGCGAGGAAGGAATTTGGTGACACATTCAGTGTTGTGAAAGAAAAAACAAAACAAACAAAACATGCCAAACAAGAGCACAAAATTCATCAATGCTCCCTTTCACAAAAAGGAGGAAAAAATATAAATTTTCCATGATAAATAAAACTGAGAGACTCCATTACCAACAGATCTCCCAAGACCAAAATTTTCTTGGTTCCACAACTAGAGAACACATCAGAAAAGCAACCTACAGACACATATCTTTGATGGACCTTCCCTACAAGAATCACCAACACAATATTTGCAAATTGACTCCATCACTTCATCATAAACATGAATCAAATGACTTGATGTGTGACTTATCCCAAAAAATCAGTGATGATTCTATATATGCAAAACATTTTTATATCACATCAGCAGAATTAAGGCTGAAGTTCATATAATTTCAATAAATACAAACAGCATTCAATAGAAATTTATACTCTTCATGACAATATAAACACACACAAGAAAACCTGAGTACATTAGTTGTAGGAGCATAGTACATCATAGTGAAGAATACATGATAAACACAAAGAAAAATTCATACTGGAAATGGGAAAGCTGAAGACTTTGAAGAAGACACTTCTAAGATCTGAAATTTGACAAGATTTCCACACTCCTTGTGTTTATTCAATATTGTATTGCAAGTGCCCAGCACAATGGTCTAGAGGCTAAAGTCCTCACCTTGCATGCACCAGGATCCCGTATGAGCACCAGATCTAACCTTAGCAGCCCTGCTTCCCATCAAGCTCCCTGCTTGTGTCCTGGGAAAGCAGTCAAGGATGGCTTGGGACCCTGAATCCACGTGGGAGACTGGAAGAGGCTCCTGGCTCCTGACTTCAGATCATCTCAGCTCCAGCTGATGATTCACTTAGGGAGTGAGTCATCAGATGGAAGATCTTCCTCTCTGTCTCTCCTCCTCTCTATATATCTGACTTTGCAATAACAAAAAATAAATCTTTTAAAAAATAAAATAAAATGCATACTGAAATGAAAGAGTAGTGTCAAACCTGGTGCTGTAGCCTTGGCCAATATTAAATGAGCTCCCATCATCATAAACACCACAGTGCATATAAATTAGAAGCATTTTGACTCAATTGTTGGCTTCAAGAAGTGAGAAAACCATTTGGGGGAACACATTAAGGAACAGCATTTAGAGCTGTTCTTGTTCTTTACACTCAGCCATGAACCTCTCCATGAATGTTCCATCTGTGCTCTATGCCACAGGAGAGAGAATATGTGTTTCTAAACACTGTATCTCATAATTATCCTATTTTTCTTGTCAAAGGGAAAAAAACAAAACACTTTAAATATGGTTTCATGGGTGGGCCTTGATGCAGTGGTTAAGATGCAGTTTAAGATGCCTGAATCACACATTGCAATGCTAGGTTCAAGTCTTAGTTTCAGTTCCAATCCAGCTTCCTTCTAACACACATCCTGGGAAGGAAGCAAATGCTGACTCAAGGAGTTAGATCTCCGATACCTATATGGAGTCCTGATTTCACTTTAGGCTCTGGACTTCAGACTGCCCCATACCCAACAGTTTCTGTCCTTTAGAGAGTAAACCATCAGATGAGAGTCATATAGTCAGATGAAAACATGACAAAGTCCCTGTGATCACATGTCATGATCACTTCACATGTTCTATTGGGGAGACAAAGACAAAGGAGAAGAAAACCTAGATAAAGAGTAATGGCAACCATGTCTACAATGAGCTACAAAACCAACAGGAAGCATCCTGCACATCTGCTAGTCACTTAATAAGTATTCTGATTGGGCCAGGCACAATAGCGTAGTGATTAAAGTCCTCACCTTGCACGCACCAGGATCCCATATAAGTGCTGGTTCTAATGTCGGTGGCCCTGCTCCCCATCCAGCTCCCTGCTTGTGGCCTGGGAAAGCAGTCAAGGATGGCCCAAAACCTTGGGACCTTGCATCTGCTTTGGAGACCTAGAAGATGCTCCTGGCTCCTGGGTGCGGATTGGCGAGTACCGGCTGTCGCGGTCACTTGGGGAGTGAACCATTGGACGAAAAATCTTCCTCTCTGTATATCCACCTTTCCAATAAAAATAAATACATCTTTAAAAAAAAATAAGCATACTGGTTGTCAGATCAACTCTGATAACTCAACACAACACAACACAACCCACAGAGGAACTGTTGTGTTTAGTCCCTTAATCTGATATCACTGAATCATAGGACTTCCCTCCGACCATCCCACAACCTTTTCACCTTTCTTATCACCCAAGGCACAGCATCACTTCACTTTGTCATGAGATGTGAGAAATGAGCACCGTGACAAAGTCACAGGATTCATAGAGTCACAGACTGTGGACATGGAGGAACAAGTTCTGGGCTGCTGTCATGACAAACACACACAAGCTCAGGACTGGGAGTGAAGGTGAGTGTACCTAGGTTATAGGTGTACCTTCTGAAAGAAAAAGTACACCTTAGAGCAGTGGGCATGTCACTGGGAAGCCGTTCAGACATTCTAAGATGTGGAGTGGCCACACTTTTATCACAGACAGGGCTGTGATCTCTCAGGGGACCAAATCTGTGCTGCACATGGGGCTGAGAAAAGGCAAGTGTTCTTTTCAGAGAACACTTTGAGTGTTCCCTTCTCAGAGAAGGAAACAAAAAAGGCTTTCAGAGAAGGCTTCCCATGATCAGCTGCCTATGGGGTCAGTTGGGCTAGGAATCCCTGTTGGGATCAGTATATGTGCCTACTAAAACCCATAAGAAAACACACTGAAACCTAAGTACCTCAGTGCTCTAGAATCTTCACTTCTGCATTTTTTTCCCTACCTCCTCCTTCTCAACCCATCGCCCTCTCACTCCCTCCTCTCAATAGTCCTGACTACTCTGTCACTTCTAAACTGGGACACTTGCACTGTCCTCCCATGTTTCTCCCAGGGCCTAGTTTCCCCTGTGATCAGCTATCCTGCTGCTGTGAGTCAGACTGCATCAATTTCTCATACAAAACACTCCAATGGGAGCTGTTGCTATGGTGCAGTTGGTTAACCCCCAAAGCGTGATGCCAGAATCCCATTTCTAAGTATTGATTTGAGTCCAATTCTTGGGAAACATTAGATTGCAAGTTCCTGAAGGATGGGCCTTAAGACTGTATTAAGCAAGTAACAGTAGTAGCATATAGGGCCATACCTGCTAAATGTTGGGTACTAAATTCATGGGTTTTTTTTTTTAAGATTTTTTTAATTTGCATTAGAAAGTTAAATATACAGGGAGGAAGATCATCCATCTAATGATTCACTCCCCAAGTCACTGCAATGGCCGGAGCAGAGCCAATTCATAGCCAGGAGCCTCTTCTGGGTCTCCCACGTGGTTACAGACCCCTAGATCTTGGACTGTCCCTTATTGCTTCCTCAGACGATAAGCAAGGAGCTGGATGGGAAGTGGGGCCGCTAGGATTAGAAACAGCACCCATATGGAATTCCGGCACATGTAAGGCGAGGACTCCAGCCACTAGGCCTTTATGCCGGGCCCTAAATTTCTTTTTTAATACAGTATAATTGTATTATAACTTACTGGAAAGACATTACATCATAAAAAGGACCATTTAAAAATTGTACTGTTGCTCACAGCAGTTCATCAGTTCATTCCAGTGGAGATAATGCTAACCTGGGATGTCAGGCACATACTAGAACCCTGGTACTGATAGCTTTCCTTTACTGCACCACAAAGAACCTGGGTACCACATTTTCCATTTGTTGCCAGTTCTGAAGTCACATTCTGGGCCTGCTGTGGACGTGTTCTCTGTGCACTGTCTCACAGAGTTGTGCTGCCTTCTTGTGTCAGAGTCCTCCTGCAGACCTCCACAGCTTATAGGCAGTGTTCAGTTCTTCATAACTGGAAGATGGAGTCTTTTTTCATTCACATGTGTCAAGGTACACAGAGGAAGGCTGCTCCTAACTTGCTGTGGCCACAAAACTTCTTTGACCTATGATAATACAGACACATTCAGGTTCATTTTTAGGAAAAGAAATCAGGGTTTCTTGAAAGACACAACATGGGAACTTGAGCAAGTCCTGTATCGCTCAGTCTCACAAGGCACTTGTCTCATACTATAGAAGACAAGGGTTAACAACTTTAGTTACTGTGCACATCCATGCAATGAACAGCCTAGTATATATTCAAAGTGTCTAAATTCAAAGGATCCCCAGAGCCCAGTAGTGTCCCCTCTCCCAATTCAGGCTCTCCATCTGTCACCTTTCAAAGCTATGAGACATACTTCAGAACTCTGGGCCTTGTCCCCACCTGGGTAAATCAAATAGACCACAGGAGATGCACCTAATGGAAAAATTATATGATGGATGGACTCCTGTTTGCACTGTCCCTTCATTCTTAAATATTGCTCCTGCCCCTCTCCAATACTTACTAGAGACAACTTCAGAATATCTCCTTTCTTTTCCATTTGTGAGACACCTGGTTAGAAGTAAGGCCCTGAGAACCTCAAGGTCCACCCTAGACCTAGATATACCAGGGAAGTTTCCAGAACTGCAACTAAGGTCCCCAGAAACAGTCATTGACCTGCAGCTGCTGAAACTCAGGTGCCCATTAGCAGGGTCATCCCTGTGGAGTGTTCACCCTCCACCTTCACTTGGGCTTCACACCAGAGCCAGTGTGAGCATCGGGGCCCAGCTGCGGTTCCAAGTGTCTGTGTACGATGCTTCCCAGGAACGGGACAGGGGGACTTTCTCCAAGGGGTCAGGACACTCAGGCCCCCTCCTCATCCTGTCCTACCTGAGCTCATGCCTCTTCTTTCTCCACATCACAGCAGTGACCACAGCTCCAATGAGCACAGCTGCCAGGAGGACCATTCCAGCGATGACTCCCCACATGGGCACAGTGGGCTGAGGAGGCTCTGAGAGGGGAAGCAAGGGTGAGGGGCTCTGACCCCAGGTCTCAGTCCTGCCCCTGCTGAAGGCTCTGCCCTCCTACCCGTCTTACCCCATCTCAGGGTGAGGGGCTCAGGCAGCCCCTCATGGTACACCTGGCATGTGTATCTCTGCTCCTCTCCAGAAGGCACCAGCACAGCTGCCCACTTCTGGAAGGTTCCATCCCCTGCAGGTCTGGTCTCCACCAGCTCCATGTCCTGGGTCAGGTCCTCCCCATCGTGCTGCCAGATCAGTGTGATCTCTTTTGGGTAGAAGCCCAGGGCCCAGCACCTCAGGGTGGCATTCTTGTCAGAGATGGGATGGTGGGTCACATGTGCTGTGGGTGGGTCTGAGGGAAAATTTGGGAAATTCAGGCCCTTCGTGTTCTTCAAAAGACACTAAATCTATCCTCAGTGACCACCCTGAGAGTGGACAGGAGGACTGCGGTGGGGAAAAGGTGCAAAATCCAGATTCAACGTGGGGAGAATTAGGTAGCTGGCTTAGAGTTAGGCAGCTCCAGGTCTCAGAGGAGCAACAGGATTTGGGTTTGACTTGTATGGGTGCCGAGAGATTTAGGGACCCTGGAGTGAAACCTCCCAGCACAATGAACTGAGGCCTGGAACCAGGCATAGTTCAAATAGCATCCCTGAGGATTCTTTCTGGAATATTCTGTCCCTACCTTCCCCACCCCTAACCCTGATACAGTCCAGGCTTCCACTGTTATGAGGGAAAGGCAAACCCTTGTGGGGGTCCCTGGTGCTAGATCCAGAGCTTAAGAGGATGTCCTAGCTCTGGCCATCAGGAGAGGTGAATGCTGGCCTGGGTTCCACTTCCTCCCCTCTTCCACAGTCCCAGCCCTAAAGGAGATGAGCGAAGGCGGCCACCCCCAGCCCCTCTCCTAGTCTCCCTTCGCACCTGCATGCAACAGCGTCTCCTGTGCCATCTCCAGATATCTGTGCAGCCACTCCACGCACTCCTTTTCCAGGTAGGCTCTTTGGCGCTCAGCTTCACCTGCTGCCTCCTTTTTCTGCTTGCTGATCTGAGCTACAGTGTCAGCCGCAGTCCAGGAGTGCAGGTCCTCATTCAAGGAGATGTAGTCCGCTCCATCATAGGCATGCTGGTGGTACCCCAGGAGAAGTCGCCCATCTGGCCCGACCTCGCAGCCGTACATGGTTTGGAGCATGTGAGACCCTGGCCCAGGCCCACAGAGGTCAGCCCCAGCCACGCAGCTCCGCCCCCGCCCTGACCAACCTACAGGGACTTCAGCAGAAACCAAAAAGAAAACCTAGGCATGTCCCACTGGTTCCTCCTGGCTAAGGGTCTCCGCAGGGCGCATAATCTCAGAATGAGGGGAGCCCCGGGACCCAGAGCAAGCTGGGAGCACATGGGTAGAGGCCGTGCCCTAGCTGGGCCATGTCACTCACCTGCCTCACTCTGGTTGTAGTAGCCGCGCAGGTTTTTCAAGCTCTGGCTGTAAATCTTTGCGCGGTGTCTGGCGGTCTGCGTCTCCTCGACCCAATACTCCAGTGTCATCTGCTGCATCCAGGGCACCTGAGACTCCACCTTTGGGTTCTCAGCGTCGCTGTCAAAGCGCACGAACTGCGTGTTGTCCACGTAACCCACAGAGATGAAGCGGGGCTCCCTGAGGCCCGGCCCAGACATGATGGCTTCGAAGTAACTCAGGGAGTGAGAGCCTAGGGGAGAGAGCAGATGCAAGAAGGCTTGATCTTAGCCATGCCCGGTGCGCAGGATCTCTAAGTTGGGTGGGATAGGTAGAGAGAGGAGGTGTAGAGGGAGTGTTGGACAGAAAGAGAGCTGATGGGGGTGGGGGGGAAGGGCAGTGGAAAGACCTAAGAATTTGAAGTCAGAATGTCTAGGTTGGGGGTGGTGGAGACAAACGACTCAGCCCCCTCCCTGCATGAGCTCCTTTCTCATGAAGGACTTCTCTATCCCACCACACACTCACCTACCCTTGCCTCTCTCAGAGGTAGGATTCCTGCCAGCAAGAGGAGGAGGTTCTGAGACACCCAGGCTCCCATGGATACAGGGTCACTGAATCACAGCTGCTCCAGACGCTCAATGGAAGTAGAGGTAGAAAGACCTGCGCCAAGACTCCACTTCCCAGTCAATGAATGCTTTATTATATCTGTTTCTGAGACTTTGCTCTTAATCCTCCTTTCCTGGAATCCAGTATCCTGTGTGATCTCTTCCTTCCCCGAGGCTGGACTCAGGGCTAAAAGTGAAAGAACTTTGAAAGTCCAAATGAAACACCACACCACCGCTCTTCTGTTTCCTAATTCCTCTCCCTGGGCTGAACTATTACTCCTCCCTTGCCTTCCACTGTTCTAGAAGTAAATTCATCTCTAGACTCTGTTGACAGAGCATAGCCCACCAGGAGAAGACAGGAGACACTGAGGTTCCACTTCTCCTGGGAAAACTTTGTTTGAAAGCCCCTGAATCTGGGGCCCTGTGGTTTCTCAGCCCGATTTACAGCACAAACTTGATCCCTTGGGTGATCAGAAACTTGTCTGTGACAGAGGTGAGTGTGGCTCCTCCACACCTCAGAGCATCTGAGCAGCATCAAAGAACCATGCACACTGCTCCCAGGTGTGCTTCTCCACAAGGTGCATCTGAGACATGTGGTGCTTTCACCCTCACTCCCAGCCCTGAGCTTGTGTGTGTGTCGGGACACCAGCCCAGAAAGGGGTCCTTTCGTGACTACCGGGAATGCAGCCCAGGAATGTGGCTGCCTGGGTTACACACATCCCTGTGATAAAGTTTAACACATACATTAGAACAGTACAAGGTAAGAAGCTTTAATTAAAGCCAGACTAGTTTTAACAGTACACTCTACAAACTCTGTGATTGTGACTCTTAGAGTAATATGGTGCTCTATTCCCACTTCTCATGAAAGCATGATGTGGGTGAGATGGGTGACTATAGTGCTATGATGATGCAACACTATCTATCTATCATATAAAGGGACAGATATGGGAACACAACACAACCACAGTCCATCTGAAAACCAGAGTAGCTACTAAGTGATTAGCAGATGTATAGTGAGTCTACATGTATACATGAGACATCAAAATATTTCATACCCAGAAGGGGATAAGTTAGGAGAGATTTAAGTGTCTGTTTAGGATGCCCCATTCCATGATGGGGTGTTAGGTTTGAGTCCAGCTGCTCTGATTCTAATTTAACATTTCTGTTAATGTAACCAGGGAAGCAATCGGTGATGGCTGAAATACTTGGTTCCCTGGCACCCACATGGGAGACCAAGAGGGAGTTCCATGCTCCTGCCACAGCCTGACCCAACATTGTAGGAATTACAAGATTTAATAGGAAGAAAGTAAACCTCTATCTCTCTATCCCTTTGCCTTTCAAATAATAAGTAAATAAATAAAGAAACAAGCAACTTAATATTTTATGAGTGATTATTTGTGGAGTTTTTCATTTAATATTTGCAGACATGATAAGGTGAATCTGACGTAAGAGGAAGCTCAGTGGAAGGGCTGAGAAAGAGCATATTCTGCACAGGGAAGCGTTTGAGGCGTAACTAGTTCCTTTCTTTTAGCCAGAGGCATCTATAAGTTTTGGTCAGCTCAAGATTGTCATTGTTCAATGCAGACAGAAAGACCTTCACCAGTGCTTACACATTATATTATTTCTTTTATCTAAGCCAGGAGCCTAGATATAAATCCACGTCACCAATGTGACTGTCAGGGAACCAAGCACTGAGCAACTTCTCTCTCTTTCTTGCTCTTTCACTTCCAGGAAGCCATGCAGTTGAGACAGACTGCATGGGTGAGTGAAGAGTCAGCAAAGCTATAAGGAGTTACATCAAGGTCTGGCAAAATGCCTCTCTAATCACTTCATTGCTGCCTCACCCTGTTGATTGCACACTAGGTTGCCTCCAATACTTCATGGAATTTTCTTGAGGGTGTTGTTGGTTTTCTGCAGATGTAAAATGATTCCTGTAACTGGTATAACACCTGAAACTGATCAGTCATGTTATTGTAAAAGGTTCTTTAGCAACTTAAGGCAATAACACACAGCTAAAAACATACATTAGTACAATTGAACCCACATTGTTCCCAAGCATCTTATTATGTGCCCACCTTTGTCCTGGAACTTGAACTAAAATACATAATGCTTCCTTTTTTTTTTTTTGGGGGGGGGGATTAATATTGATTTTATTTTTTTTTTATTGTTGCTTACATTATATTATGTAGTACAGTTTTATAGGCGCTGGGGATCCCCCCCACCCCTCCCATACCCCTCCCCCCATGGTGGATTCCTCCACCTTGTTGCATAACCATAGTTCAAGTTCAGTTGAGATTCATTGCTTGCAAACACATGCCTAGCATAAAGTTCAGCGTCTTATTGTCCAGATAAGTTCAGTGGCCTCTTGGGGAGACCTTCTCTGGTCTGAAGATAGGTCTAACAGAGTAAAGATCCAGTCAGTTAAAAGCCCCAACAAGGCCTCAGTATCATTATACAACATTATGGAATTAATTGACATAGTATTGGGTAAACTATATGTTAAAAATAATGCAAGTTCCATTCTTCGAAACATCTGGGTTGAGACAGTATCAATGACAAGTTCGGAAAATAACAAACAACCAAACAAAAAATTACAGGTTAAATCAAGGCAAACATGTGGTATCTAATCTTTTGGGATTCGCTCATTTCCCTTAGCATTATAGTTTCCAGTTGTGCCCATTTAGCCACAAAGAACTGCATTTTGTTTTTTTTAATAGCTGAGTAGTATTCCATGGAGTAGATGAACCAAAGCTTTCTTATCCAATCTTCTGCTGATGGGCATTTCGGTTGCTTCCATGTTTTCGCAATTACTGATTGTGCTGCAATGAACATGGGGATGCATGTTGGTTTGTCGTAAAACAGGTGTTTTGGATATATTCCTAGGAGTGCTATTGCTGGGTCATATGGTATGCAGATTTTGAGTTGTTTGAGTGTTCTCCAGACTGATTTCCATAAAGGCTGTACCAATTTGCAGCTCCACCAGCAGTGGAGTAGGGTTCCTTTTTCCCCGCATCCTCGCCAGCAAGCGTCGTTGGTGTTCTTGTTTATGTGGGCCAATCTTACTGGTGTTAGGTGGTACCTCATCGATGTTTTAATTTGGATTTCCCTTATTGCTAGGGAGCTGGAACATTTTTTCATATGTTTGTTTGCCATTTGGACTTGTTCCTTTGTGAAATGTTTGCCCATTTCCCGTGCCCATTTCTTGAGTGGCTTGTTTGTTTTGGTTTTTTGGTTGTTTTGAAGTTCTTTGTATATCCTGGAAATTAGCCCCCTATCGCCTATATCGTGTGCAAAGATCTTCTCCCACTCTGTGGGTTGCTTTTTTACTTTGCGGATTGTTTCCCTTGCTGTGCAGAAGCTTCTTAGTTTGATGAGGTCCCATTTGTTTATTCTGTTCTCAACTGCTATTGCTTTTGGTGTCCTTCTTAGAAAGTTGGTACCTACTCCTAGGTCTTGCAGGGTATTTCCTACATTTTCTTGCAAGAGTTTGAAGGTTTCTGGATGTAGGTTTAGGTCTTTTATCCATGTAGATTGGATCTTAGTGTATGGTGATAGATGTGGGTCTATCTTTTTGTTTCTACAGGCTATCAGCCAGTTGTCCCAACAACATTTACTAAAGAGTCCTTCCCACTTGCTTAAGCTGTCATTGGTCTTTTTGTCAAAGATTAATTGGCTGTATCTGTATGGATTCCCTTTTGGTGCTTCTATTCTATTCCATTGATCTTCCTTTCTGTCTTTGTGCCAGTACCAGGCTGTTTTGATAACCACTCCTCTATAGTATGTCCAGAGGTCCGGGATTGTGATTCCCCCTGCTAATTTCTTATTTTTCAGGATGGTTCTAGCTATTCGTGGTTTTTTGTGTTTCCAGATGAACTTTTGAATCATTGTATCCAGTTCCGTGAAGAATGTTTTGGGCAATTTGATTGGAATTGCGTTGAAAATGTATATTGCTTGTGGTAGTATAGACATTTTAATGATATTGATTTTGCCTATCCAGGAGCACGGGATGTTATTCCATCTTTTGAGGTTTTGTTCAATTTCCTTTTTAAATAGTTTGTAGTTTTCTTCGAATAGGTCTCCTACACTTTTGGTTAGATTTATTCCCAAATACTTCATACTTCTCTCTGCTATTTTGAATGGTATCCTGTTGGTTAGATCTTCTTCCATCTTGGTGTTATTTGCGTACACTATGGCTGTTGATTTTCGTTCGTTAATTTTGTACCCCGCCACTCTGCCAAACTCTCGTATAAGTTCTAGCAGTTTCTGTATTGAGTCTCCTGGTTTTTCTATGTATAGGATTATGTCATCTGCATATAGTGAAAGCTTGACTTCTTCGTTTCCTATACGTATGCCTTTGATTTCTTTTTCTTGTCTTATGGCCTCTGCAAGTACCTCTAGGACTATGTTGAATAGCAGTGGTGATAGTGGGCACCCTTGTCTTGTTCCAGATCTCAGTGGGAAGGGTTCTAGCTTTTCTCCATTCAGTATGATACTGGCGTTGGGTTTTTCATAAATTGCTTTAATTATGTTGTGGATTTTCCCATCTATGCCTACTTTGGCTAGAGTTTTTAGCATGAAGAGGTGTTGGATTTTGTCAAAAGCTTTTTCTGCATCTATTGAAACTATTATGTGGTTCTTGTTTTGCAGTTTTTGGATATGGTTTATAACATTTATGGATTTCCGAATGTTGAACCATCCCTGCATTCCAGGGATGAATCCTACTTGATCCGGATGAATGATCTGTCTGATGATTTTTTGAATTCTATTGGCTAGGATTTTGTTGAGAATTTTAGCATCAATGTTCATCAGAGAAATAGGCCTGTAGTTTTCCTTCTCTGATGGTTCTCTATCCGGTTTTGGGATTAAGGTGATGTTGGCTTCATAGAATGAGTTTGGGAGGGTTGCTTCCTCCTCTATTGTTTTGAAGAGCTTGTAGAGGATTGGGGTTAGTTCTGTTCGGAATGTTTTGTAGAATTCTGTAGTGAAGCCGTCT